AGGAAATCGAACATCGTAGTGATCGTGGCGAAGCCCCTCCCTACCCTCCCCGCCGGGGGGGGGGGGTAGCGAGGGGGGGTCCCGGGGGGGGGGAGCGGGTCAAATACGACGCCTCCCCGGGCGCACTTTCCTCGAGCGGGCACACACGGGATGCACTCCTCCTCCTCCTCCTCCTCCTCCTCCTCCTCCTCCTGCTCCTGCTCCTGCCCTCCTCCCTCCCCCACCTTCTCCTCCTTCTCCCCCCTACCCCCCTCCCGCACACACCCATACCATGTCTCTTGCTGCTCATTGGGAACAGGGTCGGCGGCACCGGCCGTAAGGCCTTCGCAATAATAGAAAATCGAAGGAATCTTCGTCCTCAAACTGTGTTGCTGGCCCCCTGGTTACGACAATGACGGCGCCCACCTGAGACTTCCTTGCATTTTACGCAGGAGTCGCGCTCTCGCTCGGGACTCCCTTGCATTTTTTTCAGGAATCGCTTTCTCGGCGCTCTGGAGTCGCGCGCTCGCTGGAGACTTGCTTGCAATTTACGAAAGAATCATGCTCTTGTGTTGGAATTTTCCGCAATTTACTCAAGCGCCGCGTTCCCGACACTGAGGCACCCAGGAGTCGCGCTCACGCTGAGGACTCCCTGACAAATTACCTAAACTTAAGAATCGGGGTCCCGCTGCCTTTTGTGGCCCCGTTGCAACCCTTCGTGGCCCCCTCGCTGCACTTCGTGGCCCCGTTGCAGCCCTTCGTGGCCCCCTCGCTGCCTTTCGTAGCTCCGTTGCAACCCTTCGCGGCTCCCTCTCTGCCCTTCGTGGCCCAGTTGCATCCCTTCGTGGCCCCCTCGCTGCCCTTCGTGGCCCCGTTTCAGCCCTTGTGGTCCCTTCGCTGCCCTTCGTGGCCCCGTTGCTGCCCGTCCTGGCCCCCTCGCTGCCCTTCGTGGCCCCGTTGCAGCCCCTCGTGGCTCCCTCGCTGGCCTCCGTGGCCGCGTTGCAGCCCGTCGTGGCCCCTCGCTGTCCGTCGTGGCCCCGTTGCAGCCTTTCCTGGCCCCCTCGCTGCCCTTCGTGGCCCCATATATACATGCCCTTCGTGGCCCCCGCTCGTTCGCGCCCGTCGTGGCCCCACCATCTGCGTGCCCTTCGTGGCCCCGCTGTCGCCCTTCGTGGCCCCCTCGCTGCCCCTCGTGGCCCCCTCTCTACCCTTCGTGGCCCCGTTGCTGCCTTCTGTGGCCCCGTCCTTGCCCTCCGCGGCCCCATACACGTATGCCTTTCCTGGCACCCGCTCGTTCGCGCCCGTCGTGGGCCCATGTGCATGCCCTTCGTGGCCCCACTGTCGCCCTTTGTGCCCCACTCGCTGTCCTACGTGGCCCAGCTGCTACCCTCAGCGGCCCCGTCGTTGCCTTCTGTGGCCGCGCATTATCTGCCCTTCGTGGCCCCCGCTCCTTCGCGCTCTTCGTGGCCCCATGCGCATTCCCTTCGTGTCCCCGCTGTCGCCATTCGTGGCCGACTTCGGGCCCTTCGTGGTCCTGCTGTTGTTCTCTCTCTCGCTCTCGCTTTCGCTCGTCGTCGTCGTCGTCGTCGCCGTCGCCGTCGCCGTCGCCGTCGTCGATGTCGTCGTCGTCGTCGTTGTCGTCGTCGTCGTCGTCGTCGTCGTCGTCGTCGTCGTCGTCGTCGTCGTCGTTGTCGGTCCCATGTCCGTCCCTCTTGGGGTCGGGTTGCCGCCGATCAGCGCTGCCGCTGGCCAGGCCGACGGTCCGCGGCCGCCCTGCCGCTTGCCGGGGCCCGTCCTGCAAGGAAGAAAAGTCTACCCCCCAAAAGGGGTGCGACCGAAGACGAAGAGAGCGGGTATCGAGGGTTTGGGCAATACGCGTTAACGGACACTCGAGCAGATAATTGCGAACAGTCTTAAACTGATTGTTGTTGTTGTTGTTGTTGCTGTTGATGTTGCTCTTGTGGTTGTTGCTGCTGTTGCTGTTGTTGTTGAATGTGGGTTACGAAACTATTATTGGACTCTCCCCAGGCGATTTGGCGCTCTCGCTTCGGCGCCGTCTACATTTCATTGAACATGAGGCTGACGCTCGAGCGGTTTGGAGGGCGCCAAAACCAGCCCCCCAACAAGAACAACGCTCCCGCTCGAGACTTCTTCCTTTTTACTCAGGGCCGCTGCTCTTGCTCGCCGCCGAAAGCCGCCGTCCCAACAAAACCAGCGCTACCGCTCGAGACTTCCTCCCGTTTTACCTGGGACTGGCGCGCTACTCTTTCTCTCATCGGCGCCGCCTCCAGCAACAACGACGCTCCCGCTCGAGACCCCCTTTCTTTTTTACTCAAACCGGTGCTCCTCCTCGCCGCCGAAAACAGCCGTCCCGACAAAACCAGCGCTCCCGCCCGAGACTTCCCCCCGTTTTACGCTGGACTGGCGCCCTACTCTCTTTTGAATTGGCGCCGCTCCCAGCAAGAACAACGCTCCCGCTCGAGGCTTCCTCCCTTTTTTCTCAGGGCGGTGCTGTTCCTCG